TTCTAGGGGAGGGTGTCCCTGCCCATGGCGGGGGGTTGGAACTAGATGACCTTGAAGGTGCCTTCCAACCCAAACTGTTCTGTGATTCCATGCTTATTAATTTGATCATCCTTTAGTTTTGTCATCTAGTGATGATGAAGCTGTTTTTCTCATTTACGTAGTGGTCTGGCATTTGGCCTTCCTAAATTCTGGGGTTTTGTTGTTGTTGTTAGGTTTTTGTGGGTTTTTTTGTTTGTTTGGGTTTTTTTTGTGCAGATGTGCAATTTTGTATCTATTCCCCTATTGTAAATAAATTAGAAACTTATTGTGCAAGTAAATTAGCATTTACATTGATGTAGCCTGCCTCTTACCTAATGGTGTGCGTGTGTCTGTGTGCAGTGCAATATAGAAGATGTAGAGAAAATAGTTTTAACAACTACACCAATGTTATTTTCTTAGTCTAGGTTTTGTGGTTTCTTTATATGGAGGTAGAGGATGTCCTGTCTCTTGAATGGAGTCATAGTAGTCTTGGAACCCAGGGTCAAAGAAAAGCAAACCAGCCTACAGCTGAACGAACCCCTTTACATGTGCTTTTTTTTTTTAACCTTATTTTGTTTCAATGCAGTTCATTTTTTATCAGTTCAACCTTAAATTGTACTATACTGACTGATTTAAAGAAGTCTTAAAACTTCGATGCCAGATGAGCTACAGCTTTGCAAAAGTTGCTCCTGATCTTAAAAAAAAAAATAAAAATAAATTGAAGTACATAGTGCTTTAAATGTATTAAACTGCATATGAACTGGCAGTCCTAGAGAAATCTTATCTTCACGCAGACTGACAAATGAGTTATTTCTGCCTGCCCTTTCCTTCCTCTTTGGAGGCAATAATGGAAAGATATCCAAGTAATCTAACCACATTAACAAGCAATTGCAGCGTGGCTAATGCAAGGGAGCTATTGCTTATGTAAACCCAAAGTCAGTTCCAAAATTGTGCTTGTACAGTTGCTGGTAGTGTTTGGATTCAACAGGATCAGATATCTCCACTCAGGAGAGAAGGCAGGAAGAAGTAAAACATGGAAAATATGATACTGGCTGTTAAAAACTAATTGCTGTAGTGCTGCTTCCTTAGCAGGGAGAGTTCAGGACATGGAAGTGAGGTGGCAAATACAATGGAGTTTGTGGCAAGTAGATGAGCTTTACCAACTCTTCAGCCCTGCAGAGGAGGGAAAACTAGAATACATGAACTGTAGCAGCAGATAGGTAGTAGTCACAAGTTTTTCATGCTGTGCTGCCAAATAATGTGTGTGTAATCATGCACCATTGTATTAGGTTCCTGTGCAAAGTTGTTTTCCTTGAGTTAGTGGAGGGTGCAGTTTCATGATTTATGTAAGCTGATCCAGGACAGTGCTGCTGCAAAAAAACACCAGTCCTACTTGGTCCTTAAATCAAATTTTCCAGCAACCCCCCCCCACACTTTTAGTTTGTACTGATCCTTTTTCGCTTGTCTGTGTATGTATTTGTGGGTTGGTTTTAGCTGGATCCGTGGTGTACCTTCACGTTGTGACTACTAGTGTGCTGCTTTCATGACTGTCTATACATTATCACAGGTTAGCATTAGGTTAGCTTAATCTGGTTGTCAGGCTGCTTCCTTGGATACGGATTTTGCCTTGTACAAATACTTGCACGTGCTGTCCAAAAATAGATACTGAGTGGAAATAGGAACTTTGTACTGCAATCTGTAGAATAATTTTTTGAGGATTTAAAAATTTTTTTATTTTTTTTTTTTAGGGAAAGTGTATGTGTTCTTCTGACATGTAAAAAAAGTTTGGAAGAAAATTTTAAAAATCTTTGAACTCCCTGGTAGTCATTTATGTTCTATTGTTGGAATGAATGGAAACATCTTTGAGCCTGTAAACAATGGACCAAAGCATCCTTTCTGGGAAACTGAATTTTTTACATACAAAGAAAAATGTTGAACTTTGGATCTGTGGAGTTTGTGCATTTCTCAAACTGTATTTAAGATTTTGGCTGGTTTTATGCTAAGAAAATTATGCTTAAAGTTTTACTGGTTCTGTATTCTAGCCAAGTCAATATATTCTAGCCATGTGCCATCTATACTGGCTGTTATTGCTGTTCCCCTGGATTGGCAGAAGCTGTGGGGAGGGGATGGAGGGGGAAGCATGCATTTACTTGTGTAACAGCATTTATGTTCCCACTTTTTGTCAGTCATAGCTGTGTTTCTCAAATCACGATGTTGAATGACAGTGCTGTGGCGGTAGCGTACCGTAGTGTACGTCTGACCTTCAGTCTCTGATTTAGGAACTGACAGTATTCCCAATAACTGGTGATTTGCTTTGTAACACGAGGTAGAGTCAAGCAAGATCTGCACTCCCCGATATAAACCAAGTTATTAAGCTTCCAGCGAGTACTGAAAGATGTGATTATAGACTGTATAGCCAAATATATACATTTGTGAGTGTACAGAAATCAGAAGGACAATGTTTATTTTATGTAGTTAAAGATTCAGTAACTAATGCATTGGCTTGCTTCAAAGGATTACTGCTCTAAAAAAAACAGTGATTTAAAAAAAAAAAAAAAAAGAATCTACCAAGCTGGGCTCATTATCCTGGATTTAAATGTACATTACAATTGTTATAAGGCAGAGGGGGAGGGATCTTTCATTTTATTCTTGATTACTTAGTCCATAGTAACTCATGCATGTAAGAAGTGGTGGAGCACAAATAAAGATGAATAAAAGAAGTTAAGCAGCTTTAACGACAACAAATGACCACCTCCTGTTTTCAGGTGCTTTTAAGAGGTTTAAATGAGATACTTGCTCAATAATCCTATTGAGACACAGTGAGGCTTTTGAAATACTTTCTATAGTGTTGAAAACTGGTGAAGCTCTGGCACTCTGTAGTATACAGCAACTTAAAGAGATACAAAAACCTGAGTTTGTCGCATCCTTCTTCTGTGTTATTTTAAATTTCCTTTGTAGCAAATATATATATCTGAGCTTAAGTGATAATGTGGATTATCATATCAAGTATTTTTCAAATAAATATTTAAAATGTTACTTATACCTTTTTTTTTTCCTTCCAGTTTCTTCGAATATGTGCAGATCTTTTCCGCTTGGTCCCTTTCCTAGTTTTTCTTGTTGTCCCGTTTATGGAATTTTTGCTTCCAGTAGCTCTTAAGTTGTTCCCTAATATGCTTCCCTCTACATTTGAGACAAAGTCTAAAAAGGTAAGCAGGTCTGAATTTGTAATCCAGTAACATGTTTTGAAAAAATTAAAACTTTCCTCAGTAAAGAAACAAATTAGAAAAAAAAATCTAAAAATTAGATTTTGTTTTCAGTATTAGAGGAATGCTTTTGTTGTCTTTATGGTTTTTTTATGATCTTACTGTTAACATATAATAATGAACCAGTGCTGTCCTGGTTTACCTTTTTATATGTGCAGGTCCTTAGCTATCAGGGCTGTAACCTTCTCTTGTCTTTTTTACTATCCTCATCTCCATTTTCTATGACTCTTACAAAGCAGAAATGAAAGCTGTGAAATTTTATTTTTCTAGTTTGTATTAAAATAGGCAGACTTTGTTTTAACATTCATAGTTCTTATTCTTGATCCAAGGTTTTTTCTTATGTACACTTAATATTTAAAATAGCTTCTTATGTATTGTTTTGTTAAAAATCTAATTTTTTAAGTTACGTTTTCTCAGAATTGTTTAGAGCTTTGTAAAACCACGCCAAAAAGCCCCACAAGTTCTCACTTTCAGAACACAAAAGACTTGCATGAGGTTTGTACATAGTGAGCTCCCAGTAATCACAGATATAATCAATTCTGATTATATACTTGGCTCTAAGTAACCATTAATTTCTAATTCTGTGATCAGTTCCTCTTTGTTTGAATGAGATGTAGTGTAGGATTTCTGTGCTGGATACAAGAATTGGGAATGACCCAAACCAGTTGGTTAGTTTCTGGGGTTTTTTGTTATTAATTCAGAGGGTGCATGTTAGTTCTAGCTGGTGAGGCCACGCAATGCTGCACTTCACTGTTGGCATTGCACCTCATGCTTCATGGAGCTTTGAGCTCATCAGCCTATTTTCACTGTGATTTGGGGGTCTTTGATAAGAGTGAATGTGCTTATAATGTGTGTGTTACAGCAGAAGTTCAGAAGTAGTCCACGTAACTTGTCTAAGGGCAGAAGAAGTGGTATTCAGTGTGCATGTTTCTGGAAAGAACTTTTAAAACTGAATTTTTGTTTTTCAACAGGAGGAAAGACTGAAGAAAGAATTGAGAGTAAAGCTTGAATTGGCTAAATTCCTTCAAGACACAATTGAGGAGATGGCCTTAAAAAATAAAGCAGCCAAAGGAAATGTTACAAAAGATTTTTCAACGTTCTTTCAAAAGGTAACAATTTAAAAAAAAAAAATTTTCTCTTCCTACCAAAAAAATTGCTTGGTGGTTTGTTTGGGTTATGGTAGTCATCCAATACCTTTATTCTGTTGGATTTGAAGAAGCAGGATGTAGTAGGGTTTTTTAGGATAGATTTCTTTTTTGCAAGTAATACTTCAGTGTGCTGAAATTTTACTCTTCTAAGCTTTGGTATTCAAGCAGGTATTTTCACCCTCTGATTCTAGAAGCAGTATATTTCTGCTCATTCACTTTTATTCTCTTATTCTGTGAATAAGTTAATTCTAGCATCGTAAAATAATGGGCTCAGTGATTACTCATGTATTTTTTGACCTCTTTTTTTCGAACGCTGGGTGTAAAAAGTGGGAGAAAGGAATTCTTTCCTAATTAACTGATTAAAACTTAGTGGGGGGGGGGAAGTAAAAATTTTTTGTCAAATTTAATTCTGCTTTTAAAAACAATTTTTAAATGCACAGTTGCTATATTGCTGAAATCCTTGTGGATACTGCTAGAATGTGGTATAACCTGAGGTTTTGCTAGTATGGGAGTGCTGTGTTCCATGCAAATTTTTTCTATTCACAAGCAGTTGCTGACTCACAGACTAAATGTCAGATCTCTGCCTCCTATGTTGATGGCCTTTAGATTTGACAGTGTTTCACCAAGTTGTAGGTTAGGGTAACGTATTCCCTGGAGAGATGAAAAATACTTTCTTAAATCTTCTCAGCATAGGATTTATCTCTGTCTGCTCACACTTCCGATTTCTCTTAATTATGAGGCTATTGAATAAGAGATTGAGCCAACAACCATCACCATGTGCTTTGTTGAAAGTAAGAATGTAGTCCCCTCATTTGGGGAGAATATGTATTTGCACAGAAAAAGGCACATAAGCCTGGGGATTTCAGACCTGAATTTTACAAGTCCATCAGTTAGCTTGAGCTTCTCCTGCTTGTCCGTGCTGAGAATAAAATTTGGAAGGGTGGAGTAATAAGATCATGTTGATAGTGCCGCATAAGTTACCTCAGATAACGATATTGGCAAGTTTTGCGAGTTGGTATGTGCTTGCAAAGTCCATGTATTTTGAAGCTTCTATGTTTCTGTTTCTGTTCTTTTTCATCTGCAGAAAATTTTAAATGGTTAGTTATAGCAGTTAGTAGCTGAAACACTGATGCTGCAGACTCTGGGAGCATGCCACTGCCATGCTTCATGTTTGGAACATTTCATTTTCTTCTGAAAGAACTGCTTCTGAGAATTTACATTTGACAGTTCATTTCTGTGGAAATAAATGACGTATCATTCCACACTTGCTGGAGGAAGTCCCAGGTTTCTCTGATGACTAAAAAGAAGTTTTAAGCCCTGCATTTCTTATGTGTGGGTGTGCTTTTTACACCTATAAATTTCTCATTTGTGCCATGGAGACAAACTTTATTGATGTCATTTCACTGTACTAGATAATAAATGTCAGAGCAAGAAGAAGCTTCAGTGTTTCCCACTTTTTTTGCTATTCTTTTATAGCTGCTTCTGCAGTGAAGTACTTGATGCTGCAAGAACCATTGATAACAGACTTAAGATGTTAGCCGCAGAGTTCCAGAATTTATCTGTGTTGCTTTGTAGCTAGTGATGTACTAGAAAGTTTCAATTTGTACTCTCAAGAAATATATGCTTGGCTCTGCCAAAATTCAGCTTCAAGGAAGAAAATACTTTCTGTATATTTAAAGTTCCATTTTTGGCACCTGTAGTGAAGGAGCTGGTGAAGTGGAACAGAAAGGCCTTTGACCTTTCTATCTCTGAGTTGGTTTCTCTGCTACACAAGTATCCTGGAGGTTAATAGACTCGAGACCATCTTGTCTTCCAAATTTTTATCTTTTGCTGTACTCAGTAGCTGTTCACTAAAAGATTTGAATTGGCAAGTAAAACAGGTAGGCATAATAAATCAGGCTGTATAGGTAACATTAGTTTTTCAGACAGTACTTGAGCTGGCTTAGCTTATGTTTTCTTTACAGGGCTTAAAAAAAAAGAGGGATTGGGAAAAGTGTTTTTTGGATATCTACATACTTACCGTTTAGACTGAAGGTGTTAAGTGACTGGGAGTATTTCATTGTTAAGTTCTGTAGATTTTTGGATTCAGTAATATCACTAATAAGCACTTGATGGTAAAATTAAAATAGAAAAATCAACATTTATACGGGCGATAATGTTTTACTATGACCTGATGAGACTAGGGAATGATTTTTTTTGTACTTTTTTGAACTGTTATTTCTGTTTCCAGTATTTGGATTTAATTAGTCTGAAGGGCCATTTGCCAACACATAAATTAAAACCTTAACTTTGCATTTGTACAAGCAGTTACACAGAACCTTCCGTCAAAAAGGATGCAGACTCCTGTCCCTATTTGTGGTTTATACTTTGGAATAACTGCACGTACAAGTGCATTTGCATTGAGGTGCCACAGAACAGCTAGGAACTGGAGGCAAACCATATTGTATTGTAGCAAATGTTGTTGTGGAGAGAACGTAGGTAGGTAAACGTCCAAATCGTGTTTCACAGGGACACCAGCATTGCAAAATTTTTGCCATTGGATGGCACTTCTCACTTTATCTTCACAAGGTGATGCTTTTAATTTGCTTTTATGTTTAGTAAGTATGGTATCAGAAAGAATACTTGCCAGCGTGATTTCTGTAGCAACTATTTATTTGCTCAGATATTTTTTTTTGAGATATCTCGTGGCAGTGCCAACAGATGAATCTATTTCTTGTTTTTGTTAGGTTTGTCTTAAGTATATTACACAGTGTTGTTGGAAACTACCAATGCTGTCCATTCTTTTGCCTTTTATAGTAAACAAGTTGTTTTTTTAAAAATGTCTTTCATGTCTTCCTTGTGTCCTATTTCCTATCCCAAAATTGATGCAAAGTACTTGACAAATAAGGAGAATATTTTTCTTGTTCAAAATACTGCCCAACCATAACATTTGCTTTGAAAAACTTTGTGTGTGTGTGTGGTTTTTCTTACAGATCAGGGAAACTGGTGAAAGACCCAGTAATGAGGAGATCTTAAGGTTCTCCAAACTGTTTGAAGATGAATTGACTCTGGACAATCTAACGAGGCCTCAGCTGGTGGCACTTTGTAAATTGTTGGAGCTTCAGTCAATTGGGACAAATAACTTTCTCCGTTTCCAGCTGACTATGAGGTTGAGAAGCATAAAAGCAGATGACAAAGTGAGTAATTCTAAATAGGCTCCAGTTAATGTTTTTGACATTTAAGAGTAATGAGTGTGTGTGGATATATGTATGTCTTTCTAGGCATTTTCCTTTTTTGTCTTAATTGTCTTATTTTTGAGCTAATTTAGAACGAAAAGGCTCAAAGAGCTTAAAATCAGAAATATCCTTATTTGTAAAGAAAAAGTTGACCTTTTTTAATCTACTATTAATTGCAATTAAAGTAACTTATGTTACAAAGAAGAGCATTTCTATGAAACTGTAATTTGTAAGGGAGCTAATAGAAATACTACCTTAGAGAGAGATTGACGTGACCATTATGGAGCTGTTAAGACTGCAGTACAATGTTCACTATTTAGAAATTGGAGGCTATTTTGTATTGTCATAGCAGCCTCTAGTGGCCGTTGTAAAAATACGATCTTAGGGGTGTGCATCGATGGTGGTTCTTCCATTTTGAGCTGTTACATGTTAAAGTTTATTTTATGCTTTGTGCAGCTGATTGCTGAAGAAGGAGTTGATAGCCTGACTGTTAAAGAACTGCAGGCAGCTTGTCGTGCCCGAGGGATGAGAGCTCTTGGTGTGACCGAGGAACGTCTCAAGGAACAGCTTAAACAGGTATGTTTGGGCAAGACTGAGTACACAGGCCTCGGTTCAGTTGCTAGCTCTGATTTTTGTTAGGATTCTGAGAGGTCGTTTTACTTCTGTTCTCATTAAAGGCTTGGCTAAAACAGTCCTTCTTCTTAATAAGCTTTTGTCATGTATACTGTGTAAGTATGTAGGAGCAGTGGGTTTCTGGCTTTTGACTGGGTTTTGATGATGCAAACAGATACTTAAACGTATCCAAAATATATTTGCAATTTTGGCAGTTTGTCTTGTTAATTATTTTTATTAGTCTGTAAAGAACTTTTCTCCAAGTAGATCAGTTCATTGTCTTTTGGTGTTGCCTGATTTAGAGGAAGATGCATGTGAAACAAACCACTTTTTGAAATATTCATTAAATATTTCTTGAAATACTTCTTCAAATAAAATACTTCTTCATATATTTCAGTGCAGTCGCTGAAAATCTTAGCTGCTTATAGCCTGTAGTTCCTGTGCTAGGTTATTGATTGATAAGTAGTGGTAAAAAAAAACCCAAAACTTTTCTGTGTATGCTTGACTTGATCTGTAAAAAAAATAAAAAAAATCCAAAAGTTAAAGATTTGTTTTATGTGTTGCATTTATAGTGGCTAGATCTGCACCTGAACCAGGAAATCCCTACTTCATTGCTTATTTTATCCAGAGCCATGTATCTTCCAGATACCCTTTCTCCAGCTGATCAGCTCAAAACAACACTTCAGACACTACCAGAGAGTGTTGTAAGTATTGATGTATATAGTCTGTAACCAACTGTCAGTATCGTTGCTGAAGATCTGTTTAGAGAAGCAGATGTTCTTCTTGGTTCCTTTCTTTTCCTTGAAAAACTAAACCATGGATAGGTTTATTTGAGTGACCTTCAAATACAGAAGTTGGCTTATATGTGGAGGGGTCTGAGAATAAAGCAAGTAAAAAGCAATATTTAATTGCATGACAGTAGACAGTAATAGCATAAGGAAATTTAGAGTAGACTTTTTTACTGATATTAAAAACAATCTGCACTCCAGACAATATAAAGACATTAATATATAAAAATATTGATGATGATGTGTACACTTCTCGCATTATTTTTAGGCCAAAGAGGCTCAAGTCAAAGTGGCAGAAGTCGAAGGTGAAAAAGTAGATAACAAAGCACGTCTGGAAGCAACACTTCAGGAAGAGGAAGCCATCAGGAAAGAAAACGAAGAAAAAGAGTTGGAAAGAATGTCTGAAGCTGCAGAGAAAGCCAAAGAAACCCTTCCAATTGCAACCATGGTAAGTTCTGCTCCCAGCTATTGAGAAAGACATGTCAGTGCTGTAAAAACTAGCATGTTACGAGTTATTCCCTCTGCTCTGGGTGTTGCCTGCAAGAAACTGCAAGAACTTTAAATCCACGTGTGCAAGATGTGGGAAAATATTAAAGCAGACTGCAACCCCAAAGGGTTCACTGTGAAACATAAAAGATTGTCTCAGTCTTATGCATCCGTGATTTCTCTTCTGTGCTTTTAATGAGAGCAATAAGAGAAGCCTTTTATTCCTCTGGTGGTTTTGTTTGTTTCTTGATCTCTGGCCCATACTTGATACGTAATTGTTCTTATCTTTGGCTATTTCTATGTGTCCTTAGTCTGATACTGTCATTGTGTAATACTTGACTACAGAAGATACTGGCCTGCTTTACTGGTGAATTAAGGCTCGTGTGCTCACAGGCACAAGTCATTAAGTGCAAGTGGGTATTTTTATGTGAAACTACCCAGTATGTTGCAATTTTTTAATGTTGTCTTAAAAATGTCTGCATCTACTTTGGCAACTATTTCTATTTTGAGAAGTCATTCTTTACTGATGCTAATACAGATAATGTTATCTTTTGTTTTAATTAAACCTTCATTGGTCTTTCAAATTTAGAAAGAGGTGGAATCAGCAGTAGATCTTGAAGCAGCTGCTCTGCAAGTTAAAAAAAGTCAGATGGCTATGGATACCCAACAAGAACTGGCAAGGGCAGATATGGCGATGCACTCGGAGACACTGAAAGATACAGCACCAGTGTTGGAAGGCATCAAGGTAATCTGAATAACTACATGCTTTTATACTTTTCAATGTAAAAATTCAAAACATACATGTAAGAGCCATGATCAGTTGCCTGGCTGTCCTGCAGTTTTTACCCTCTCACCACATTCTGTCAGTTAAAACCAGCTAATTGGTAGATTGCAAGTTCTTAACCACTAATGCAGAAATTCATGTCGGCACAAAAAAAATCTCTGAGTATCTCCTTTGTCTGTGTTATTGCTACTAATATGCCTAATTTTGGGGCATTCGCACTGGTTGTAGACATAATGGATCTGTGCATGTTTATCTGTGCATAGTGAACACATGAGGAGGGAGAGGGCAGGAGTAGGTAAAGATGAGTATTCCTTTCTTTTGAAGTGTATGTACACTATAAAAACTTTATTGTGTACTCTTTCCCTATTTCTTTAGTCTGATGTTGAACATAACTTATACCACTGTTAAAGTAACATTAATTTCTAGGATCAGCATGCTTTGTTGTGATCAGAGCATGCTTTGTTACAGTCAGAGCATGCTGGGTTTAACCATTTGCTACCTGGCTGGCCTATAGCTCCACGGATTTTCCTCCCTGCCCTTATTGAAGACAGGAGTGACATCTGCTTTCTTCCAGTCCTCAGGATCTTCCCTTATGACTGTGTCCTTTCAAAGATAATCGAGAAGGGCATCTTAGTGACATCAAACAAACCTCAGCACTTGTGGTTGTATCCCATTAAGTGTCATGGACTGGTGTGTTTTCTGTTTAACTGTTCTCTAAGCTGATCCTCCTCAACTGATGGTGGATCTTCCTTGGTCCAGACGTCCCTGCTGGTCTCAGAGACCTGGGATTCCTGAAGGCCAGTCTTACCAGTAAAAACTGAAGAAGGCATTGACTATCTTTTGCCTTTTCTATGTCCATTTGCACCAAGTTCCTTGCCTCATTCAGCAGCAGGCTCACATTTTCTCTTGTCTTCCTTTTGCTCCTGATGGACTTGTAGAAGCCTTTCTTGTTGCCCTTCGTGTCCTTCACCAGATTTAACTCCAAGTGGGCTTTTGCTTTCCTGAACCCATGCCTCCAGGCTCAGACAGTGCTTCTATATTCCTCCTGGGTCAACCTCTCGTATGCCTTTTTTTTTTTTTTTTCATGTTTCAGTTGTACCTTGAGTTTTATTTGTAGCTGAGCACTTTGTTCTTGTCCACAAAGTTTGGTGTCAGGATTTTTGTAAATCCCAGTGTTACTGTGTGGAAAAACAACATTAATTTAGAATGGATATTTTAGGCAGAAAAATGTTTTCAATTTTCCTGGACAGCATCATTATCTACCTGCTATTATTATAACATTGTTTACTTTAGAATGCTGCCAGGAAGGTTTTAATGGTAATAATGAAATGGAAATAATCCACGTTGAAATCATGCATTTTTGTGCGATAAGTTAGCTGACTCCTGACTGTGTAGCTATGGGTGCATGGTGGTGCAGCCATGAGAATGCCAAAGGAGATGGGCAAGGCTGGGACCATCTTGTTTGGAAACAGCAAGGCTGTGTGGTGTCGCAGCTAGCTTACACTGCACATCTGGCATAGCATTTGTGTTGCTGCCTGTCACGCCACCAATGCCATGAGAACGTATGATACTGGGCAGCAAGAGCAACTTCCTCAAAAGCCCTAACCGATGAGAGAGAACAAGAAGTAAAGTTAGTGTGGCATTCTTAACCAAGGTTGCAGTGTGGCTTGTCCACTAAAGATGCTTCCAAAGATTTTAAACCTTGTGGTTCTTGCCTGGTAGGGGAAATATCTAAGACTGCCAGCTGCTTGAAGATGACTGGTTTTATTTGAGGCAGAGGAATTTGGGGTTTGGCTTTTGGGGTTTTTTGGGTGGGTTTTGGTTTGGTTTTTTTTTGCTAAGGTGAACTATAGATACTGTACTCAAATCAGAAGTGAGGTTGATGCCTGGATACTAATAGAACACTGAAACTTTTTCTGAGTTAATGAAGGGGCTGACTGCCCACACAATGCAGTTTGTGAACTGTTATGTAGTTGTTTGTTGGAAGCATATCATCATTCTGCTCTGTGTTTCTGGCATCCTTGTTTGCACTTGTCTTTTTGTACTCTATTTATGTGGCTGTTCAGAGTTTAGCCATTCAAAATAAAAGCAGGTGTCTGGGTAGGATTAATGTGCTAACTGTAGCTAGTATTATGGGATTTTAGCATTTTTAATGAATCATCTTGAAGTCTTATTTTTCAAGTATTCAGTTGGGAGTATCTCAGCTTTTCAAGACACAAGTATACCTCACAAACTGTGGATGATCATTCTCATTCTTACAAAGGTTGTTGAAGATAACTTTGCTCCAGCTCAGCTTCCTGTACTTTTGCTCTGCAAAAATTTTTTGTGTACTGTATCTTTCCCATACGTGATGAATCGTTTCTCAGTTGTTTGGATTTTTCACCCAGCAGAGGAGGAAGTAAAACATCGTTAAATGAGACAATTAGGTACAGAATTTCAAATAGCCAAAACTCACATAATGAATCACATTAGCTGAATTTATTACTGGTCCACTCAAAAAATATGTACCATAGCAAACTCATTGCCTTAGCATTTTAGATCTCAGCATTAGCCTCAAAATGCCAGTCTGTACAATATTGACTCCAAACATGGAAATAGAATCTTGAGTCTGTCTCTTCTGGTAAAAGACCTGAAATCTTTGAGGAAAATCATAAATGTATCTTTCACTAATTTGTATATATTTTCTGTTACAGGGTGAGGAAATCACTAAGGAGGAGATTGACATGCTGAGTGATGCTTGCACCAAGCTGCAGGAACAGAAAAAATCACTAACAAAGGAAAAGGAGGAGCTTGAGGAATTGAAGGGTGATATCCAGGAGTATAATGAGGTGAAGAATGGGTCATGGAAGTTCCTTTTTTAATTATTTTTTGTTTGGTTTTAGTTTTAGCATTAATGATCCACAAAATTAAAGATTATCTTGCTTGGATGTCTTTTAGCCTGTATTTGGTAGCTGAGTAAATGAGCTTTATACTGTTTTATACAGAGGCCTCATTTCTATACCATGTTTGAAGCCTAGTTAAAAATATTGGAGTAGTTCCCACCAGATGAGAATCTTGTTCCTGCTGTTATTTCCAAGGTCACTAGATTAACAGGTGCTGACTAACTGCTGCTTGCTGCAGTTCTTTGTTATCAAGCATAGATGTCAGTATTACAGATACTTTGAATTAAGTAAAATGAATCTTACCCAATTTTATGAAAGATGTGGAAAATAACATTTAAGGGGTGCATGAAAATGTCAACAGTGTTAGAATTTATTGTTCTAATTCCAGTTTGGCTTTATATGTGTATGCATTTGCATTTCATTTACAAATGACACCTTTCTTGAAAGGCTAGTCCAAGTCAGTAGCGTGTGTTGTTGAGAATTCACACCAACAAAAGCTTCTCTCTCTCATGACCATTTTTTTAGGATTTGCAAGAGATAAAAGAGCTCTCTAAAACTGGCCAGGAAGAGGTAGTGGAAGAGTCAAAGGCAAGCAAGCGATTGACCAAGAGGGTAAACAGAATGATTGGGCAGATAGACAAAATTATTAATGAATTAGAGACAAGTCAAAAGACAGTGGATGCAAAGCTGGTCGGTGGTGATAGTCCTCCTGCTGGGTAAGTGACTTGAGAGCACTGAGTGTGTGTCTGACTGTTCATCTTCAATTTCGCTTTTGTCCGACATGTGATTAGAAAAGAATTAAAAAATAAATTGTAGTTTAGAATGTTAAGATAATTTATTTTAAAAATAAAATTAACAAAATCGTTCTATAGATTTTCTGTATTCTAAGGTACGTTAAGTATGGTTGCAATGAGGAAGGAAAAAAGGTATAATTCCCCAGATGCTAGTCCTGAGGGGGTTCTGAAAGTCAAAGTGTGATTAACTGTCTTGATCATGGCTGTAGCACTAACAGCGGTGCAGATGAAATCAGGCCTTTACTCATGCTCCTCACACAGTAGCTTTGCCCTGTGTCATTGATTGAAAAGGTGTGAACAGTATGGTAAGCATATTCTTGTTTGTTGGTCTTCAGTAGTGAAGATGTCAGTGAGGAAAAAAATTGCAATAAAATCTCTTCTGTCTCTGGAGAGAAATGGGGGAATGGGTCTAGTGGAAGTAAGGAGATAATTCTGCATGGTCCCTTTCCAAAAATTTGCTTCATTTCAACTTTAACTCATTTGCATATTTTTCAAAGAAAGATCTTTTTTGATAGTTTCATTGCAAAATTCATTTATCAACACTTCTCCAGGTGTTAGTGTTACTGGAGAGTCTTTCAGGCAATCCTATGTTGAATATGTTGCATATTACAGGCACTGAAATACCTAAACTGTGACTAATTCTCTCAGTTTGTGATTATGAATGCCATATTAATCTAGTTTATGCTTGCAGCTTTTTGTGTGATTCATTATGAGAGCTTCCTAGCTCCCATAGAGCATAACCTAAACAGCAATAAGGGTTCTGCTTTTGTTGCTTCCAGACTTTGTTTTTTTCCAGTCCCCAGGGCAAACGGTCATTTGTTTCAAATTTTGTATAATAAGATTAAGGCGGCCTTATGAATGGTGCTATGGAGAAGTTGTTGATCTAAACCATCCAAATTTGTAAATTGAAAATACAATGTAGAATCTGCTTGTACGGAATGTAATGGTGCTTTCTGTAATGGATGGGTTTGTGGATAATTTTGTAGGTGATTGTGGATGATTGAAAATTATTAGTTTAGATATTGCTTCATTGTCAAAGGCTTGGTTTTTAACCTTCAAATTGGTGCAGTCATTACCAAGCCATCAAGAGTCATAGAAATGACACAAGTCCAGGACATTTAGTGGCAGCTTGAGAAATGCTCCTTAAACAAAAATCAGTGTGCCCAGACATTAGGGACAGATATAGGGCTGGGACTACACTGATAAAGCCCTTCTGCTTAATATTTATTTGGTTCGCTGTCTCCTGCATTTTAGCTTGACCTGTGCTGGAAGATGGTTCTTCAAACTAACAAAACTACGTAGGCAAGCAGAGGCTTTAGGTTGCAGAAGACATGCAACTTTAGCTTCATGAGATCAGTAAGCAGACAGTGGAAACATCTGAAATCTGCTAGTCACGACGTGAAGTTTAGTCCTTTCTTCTACAAAGTCTATTCCTTGATACGAGCAAATGAAGCCTATTTTAACAAAACAGCTAAATTGCTGAAGTGATTAGTTCTCAGCTTTTGTTTTTCTGTGACTTTCATTAATTTTGTGTAGGCCAGCCTGTCTCAATCTGAAAGGATTACAGGTGCATGGCACTGCACCTCTGGTAAATGGGGACGTAAAAAGTATGTACATAATGCCCCATAAAAAGGGCATTAGTTACACAGCCTCAGAAGTATAGAAACTATGTTAAATGTTATTTCAAATGCTACCGGATACCTGTATTTGTGTAATAAAGCACGTGGAAACCACAAGCATGACATTCAGTGGGTAAGATAAAGATTCATTTGAAATCTGCTTGCTGATCAGTAACTCATTTTTGCTTTTTTGCATTCTGTTCATGATTATAAATAAATAATTACTGGGTTGGGTTTTTTTAAAGTGACCTGCAGTGTAGTGACTTTCAGTACTGCCTTTTGTCAGCTTTACTCCTTTGGAGTAACTGCTTGCCATGTACAGATTGTGCTTCCTCTTCAGGGAGAATCTCATCAGTATTGCTGAGTTAATTAATGCGATGAAACAAATCCAGAAGATTCCAGAGGAGAAGCTAACTAGGATTGCAGAGGCACTGGATGAAAACAAGGATGGCAAAATTGATATAGATAATGTTGTGAAGGTAAGTCTGTAGAGTACTTAAAAAAAACCAAGGTTAGCCATCCTCAAACGTTGTACCTGTTTTGACTTAAATTCATATTGCTGTCTTTTGCAAGAGTCTTTACCTGATGCCAGTGAGATTTTTGGGACTGTATTGTAACTTATACATTCTGAAGATGCTAATATGTATTATATGGCTATGTTGGGAGGCAAAACCCCCTTTATCCTGTGTCTGTTACCCATGTTACCTTTAAAGCTGTAGGTTTTCCTGTATGCATATGTCAAGTTCTGTAAAATACGATAATTTTGTTATGTTGCTTATGAATGGGAATGAGGATGGGAAGGAGCTTTAGAAGAACTACTTTAGGAATACCACTATTTGGCCAAAGTCTTGACATAATGTTTATAGATACACTTTATGTAAACCAAGATAAATGGCTTCTCTTGCCTCCTTGTATACCTTAGATATTTCATTGAGACCTCTGTTTCCTATGCTTGGAAGACATCAGACTATCAACTGTTCTTTAGGTCCATTATAAATGACTGGTGTTCTTTGCCTGCTTTGTCTTGTTGTCTTTGTTTTGCAGAATATTCCCAGTTTATCCCTGCATTTCTCCTTCATTTTCTTGTTTCTTTTTCACGTGATAAATTTAGAGATGTTCTGAAACTTAACTTCCTTGCAAGTAATTTTCCTACTCAGTACAGAAGTAGCGCTGAAAGTTAGGACACTGACCAGCTAGAAAATACATCAGCCTTTTGAAACACATTTTTGCTCTCTACTGAGGTTGTCCCAGTGATGATTGTGTTTCCTCTTGGTTATAACAGCTGTTATATTCAGTTAGGTTTAGTAACAGGTAAAATGTAATTTGAATTCTGTGTATAATGCAGATAAGTCTAGGAACTTGAGGCGATATGCCAAGAATACATTTGTACAAAAAGCTAGATAAAGGAGTTTGGAAATACTTGCTAAATTATTTTTTCATTTTGTTTTCTGAAAGGCCAACCGCCCTGTACTTTTAAGTTTTTGTAAATTTATGCTTTTGCTTTTCTATTTAGTACAGTAGGTCTTTTCGATAAAATTAAGCCAATAAAATAAGTATTGTCTTAAATACTGAGTCTGAGCTTTCCATTGGAACAGATATAATAAATGAGTCTATTTTACATGCATATTATTCCTCATTAAAGAAAAATATATAAAAAGGCCATTGGTAATCGCTTTAAAATGCGATTCTGTGTGCTGAGGTCAAAAGTTCTACATAATTTGTTTTAAATTTGACTTTTTTTAATACTCCCGATACATTTGAGGCACTGCTTGTGGTTTGAATTTGTGTTTTCATGTATGAAAAAATACTGGTTTTCTTGAACATGAGAGAATTGATGACTTTTTTTTTGTCTTAATAAAATTTATGTTATGAAAATGCCTCAATTATGTAAAAAATTAAGTGCTCTCTCCATTTTACATTCATGTAGGTAGTAGAATTGATTGACAAAGAAGATATTGATATTGGCACTAGTCAGGTTGCTGAGATTATGACACTGCTTCAAAAAGAAGAAAAACTGGAAGAAAAAGAGAAAGCAAAGGAAAAACATGATAAAGAAGCTGCGGAAGCAAAGAATTAAGCTTCAGAATCTGAAGCTAATCCCAATTGTAACCAAAACCTTGTATAACTTTGTGTCTAATGGCTACATGTTACTTGAGCTTTTGTGATTATGGGAAGTATTTTGAGCTGATTCTAGTAATAAATTGTAGATATGTTTTCTGACATATGGAATGAAATTTCCGTTTATCAAAGTAGTGATTTACTATCATTCCATAGAGATGGAAACAAAATATGCTTCTTTAGCAGTGCTCCTGCCCACAAAATCATGTATTTGCACTCATTGTTGTGGTACAGTGATCCATTAAACTTGCAACTTTGCTGTATAAAGTAAGTGTATCTGTCATGGAAAAATGTTTCTCATTTATTTCCTTCATCTTTACATGGGGCCCAACCTTGCTCTTCTACCTTTTAGCTTTTTCAGATTTTAAAACAAACTTTCCCTTCTGTTTCAAAATATGTAATATTGTAACCTGTTAGTGAAGATTCTGTGGCTTCAATAGTAGCTCTTTAGATTGAGTTTTATTTAAGCTAGATATCACAAAGCTGTTGCCTCACTGACAGAGAATGTGGCATTCTAATCACTTTTATGAATTCATGATATTTTTTTTTCTGTTGAAGGGAAAATCGGATTTATTTTTCCCTAGAATGGAAACTTCCCATGAAGTTTGCTTCTTATGGGTGCCTTAAATTTCTTCAGACTAGGGAGTGGAGGATGTTGCTTCTACTCAAAATTCCATGAATTACTAAAGCATTGGAATCACAGGAGCCTTTAAAATAGTTGCAGAACACAATCTGTCACGCAGTAAAGTGAGCTAAAGTGTTTGTCTAAGTAGCAAAATGAAAATAATCATAAAGTGGAAATGTCAGTTGTGATCTTTTTGCATATATTTTTTAAAAACGCAGTTACCTTCACGTTTGTTTTTCATCTGATAATTATTTACACCATAACTAGTTCTCTTACCTCTCAATTTTCATCTCAGGTATAAAAATCACTAACCAGGTATAGTCAAATTACAGAAATACTTTCATTTCATGACCTTGCTTACTGTGCAATCAAGTCATGTCTGGTATTGCCAGTGCTTTGATGACATCATTGGCTTTCTAATTAATTGATTATAGTTACTGTCTTTAACTGTGTGATTAAATACTGACAGTAGGTCAAGGTTTGTTCATTAATGTCTGACTTAGTAGTAAATATTTAAGTTCAAAAACTAAAATACCAACTCTTTGGGATGTTCCATAATTCCTGGTAGCCTACGTTTTCCACTCTTTCTTAAAATCTATTAGGAACTACACATAGTGTGACTTGAACCAGCAGGGTTGTGGTTTGTTTTTTTATTTTATTTTTATTTTGCACCCAGTATTAAAAATATATGTGAACGTCCTTGATTTTGTGTATGCTATAGAGAACACATCTTACAATGGCGCTGTACACAGTGATACTGAGGTGGGCAGTTAGTACTTAATGCTTTTAGTCATAGTTGCATCTTTTTGTAGAAAATGTTGACTCCCAAGCATATTTCAGCATAATTCCATGTTCAGTATTTATCTAGATTGGCTAAATTATTTGTAAAAACTCGTTTGAAGTTAGTGGAACAAAAAAAGTTTTGACAGTCTCATGCTTTGCATGATGGACCATTGTATTTAGTTGTTTCCAAAGCAAGGTGTACAGTACGATGTACAGTACCACTAATTCTAGAAAAAGGGTCAGTGTTTAGTTCAAGTACTGAGTTCCTATTCTGTACAGTTAGCAAAGAAAGCTGCTTACAGTAAGATCCTCCTGAGAGTTACTGTATCTGAAGTGTAAAATTGCTGTGACAAAGCTGAAATTTCACATCAGTACTATCTCTGTAGTTAATGTACCCTAAGCAAGGGGGCTGTTCTCTTCCTTGTAAATCGAGATTAACTTGGAGATTTCAGCATCAAAGTCAGTAGATGCTGACTTTTGTAGATTTTGAAGATAGGACTTCACTAGGTGCTTTTTTAAGGCCAAAACTTATCTTAGATAAAAATGCAAGATTAAAACTAATTTCACAAAAATACAATTTAAAAAACCTAATTTTACGTTGTATAATTTACAAGTAGAATGGATGGGCTTTGAAGTACACTGAATTTTGCAGTTGCTTTTCTTCAGTTTGAAAATGATGTATAACAATCTTACTTGACATTCCTGAAACAAGAGGAAGATACTCTAAAATTGTCTGCTACCTTTCTTGCAATATCAAAAACCTAAGAATTACAAGCACTTGAATGCCTGCACATTTAAAACAGGGAAGCAGCAGAAAAAAAACTATTTTCAAAGATTCATTGATTAAAGTTTTACAGAGCTTTAATTATCCTTACAGTGAATTATCTGATTGTAGTATTTGGGAGTTTAAGACACTTTGCTGCTGTTCCTTTTCTGTGTTTACTGTTCATTTAAATTTTCTGTGGATTAAATAAGAAGGGAGCTAAAAATAGCTGATTTTTTTTTTTTAATGAAGAATGTCCTGATTAAAATAATTGTGATACATTTATTGAACATTTTTAGCTTTTGGACTTGTTTGAAATGTGGCATATTGTGAAATTTTAACAGGTTACGTGAAATACATTTAAATGTCAATCACAAATGTCAGTTTTTCCTGGTTACCCAAAGCATTTAAAGGATGTAATGCATCAACCGCAGCAAAGCATTGTTGCAGGGAATATCTTCCTTCTGATGTTGAAAGTTGGCAAACCCCTGACAGCTGAACTTGAACCACATGTGTTCTGCAAGCTTAAAAAGATGAGGAAGCCCTCGGTGATTCCCATTTACCCGATTTTTGCACCTTCACGAGCAGCTCTGTCCGGGCGATGCAGACAGCTCCGGCAGATCGGTGGCTTGAGAGCTAGTTTCAGATAATCTGCGGTGTTGTCTTCTGTGTTGGCCAAAAAACCCAAAGCTGCAGTACTTTCAGAGAAAGGATGATTTCCGAGTGTACAGTAACTGGTCAGAACTTATTCTTGAGTGAATATTTGATCAGGAGATGTAAAATATTTGTTTAAATAATTAAAAGATGCATGAGATTTCAGTCACCTTATGACTTATACAGGCAAAGCCTCTAAGCTCAGAGTTAGGTAATCAATAAGACCATGGTTGGGGTTGTTTCAGATTCAAATAAGATCAGATCTTGGTTATAAACTATTCAGGGGGAAAAAATAAAACTTACAAAAGGCTTTTAAGAAAAATAAACTTGGCAACAGGGATGTGAAGTGAAGTAGGATGTCATTTCTTTTTCCCCTTCAAGCAGATTATAGGACCTACTGTATTGAAAAATTTGATTCTGTTTCACGTTAGCTCAAAAGATGGTTTTTACTGAGATTTTCATTGCTGCCTGCATGCTGTAGGAGTAAATCTGCCCACAGGTTAAGTACCAGAAAGCTGATGTAATGTTGGTCAGCAGGACTGTAGGCAGGTAGAGAATATTCTGTTGGCAGGATTGTACCTTAGACTTCATGGGCTTTGTCTGGGGGAAAAAGTTACATCTTTTATACGACTCCAAAATACTTCTTGTAACTTTATATCTACATACCTTGCTAATAATTTAAACTTTAGCTACTTCAACATGTATTTAAATACTTTTAAATTGTTTATATCAAATTATTGGGTATATTTAATTAAAAAGAATAATCCCATATTCTGGTCTTTGTGTGTATTCCAAGTTTTGCTCTTCAGTTGAAGAATTTCAGCCTGTGTTATAAATTTAAGTTGAAAATCGTTTGTCTGTGCTCTGAGAATACTGGTCCTGTGTTTGCCATACCATGGTATAAATTTTTTAAGTTAATTGGAGCTTGTGTCCTTTGTTTAGTTATAATAAATGTATCATTTTGAAACCTAATGTCCATTATTTTTCTGTTGCTTTTGATTATTCAGTGTTAATTTATTGCTGTTGAGGTGAGATGCCAGTCACAGAGCTGAACAGTGATGAGCAAAGTGTTAGAACTGAAATGTTTGGGGTAGAAGAGGGCAAGTGAAGGACAAAGCTTTAAACTGGGGGAGTGGAGGGTGGTGTGGGGTTTGGAGGGGTGTTAATTCTTGCAGAAATTCTCGTGACGAATGTGGGACTGCATGCCTGATGTAGTGAATTGTGCTAAACCATTCTTTCTATATGTTAGGTGTGAAAGTGGGGAGCAGTGTACTCTAAGGAACTAACGGAAAGTTTGAGATCTATTCCAAACAGAAATCAGGCTCCTTAGGAAGGAAGGAAGGATCCATGTTTGGGCTTTGTCCCAGTTAGGGGAGAAAACACATCTGAAATGGTTCCAGAGATTGATTATTTGATCTTGCCCCGGATTTTGCAGAATTATATGTATTCCTCTGTAATCCTAATATTCACGAACTTCATCTTGGCACACAGCAGACTTTGAAGTCTTGGGCGCATCCAGCAATGATGCTTTTTAAGTTAAAAGCTGTTACCTCTCCTGAAGCCTTGGCAGCCTGGGTGGAAAGGCAGAGAGTGCCCGAGCCAGCAAGGTGTCTCGTGCACGCCTGGTCCTTTGGAAATAACCAAGCTACCTCAAACATAACTTGTGTTGCTGCTGGTTTTTGAAGCTTCAGCGTTCGTCTTGGCCCAGCTGTGGTGGTGCTTACAGAAACGCAGAGATGGCCAGGCTATGGAGATGCTGTTATGCAGACCTGCATCGGCAAAAGTCTCCTGCCTGCTTTCAAATAGGATTGGGGAATGTGCAAACACTGAATCTACTTTCCAGTGTCAAAGTATTTCAACAGATGTCTGTAATAGACAACCTCCTGCCTTGAGATGCTTTTAAAATAACTTAATAGATAAGCTAGGTTGGGTTGCAGCCTTTTCCTTTTTTTGCTTAAAGCCAAATAGCAAATACGTGGCTTAAAAAGTGGCAGAACTTGCTCCTTTTTAAGCTTTTGCTTAAAAAATTTCCTTTAATGATAGACTTATTTAGGGTGGATAGGACTGTTGTGCAGCAGTGGGGTAAAACAGACTAGAGGAGAAATTGTAGCTTTGAGTCTGTAAATTAAACGTGGACATTGGCGAGTACCCTTGATCAGAGTTACCTGTGTCCTGAAGGCCCAAGAAAGAGACTGCCTTCTGGATCCAGCACTGTCTTTGCTGAGATACATTGGTTATGTCAAGGAAATTATACTCTTTTCTAAATCTTTATTACAC